TAACAAATGCATCATCCACAAGGAAAATACAATATGATTACACCAAATGCAAATGCTTACGAGCTATTGTAGGAAACATATTATACATACAACCACTATATGTGAGTATGTACAAGAGAACTATAGTGAATGTAGTTATATACCAGCAATAACAGGAGATTCGTTAGTGCATGATAATCTACCTGCATAAAACAAAAAGTAGTGCACGAAAAATTACCTATATGAAATGGGAAAATGAAGGTTGTACAAAGCCACAACATCGAATCTGTAACATCTATGCAAGAAGAAAGAAGGCATTTATAAATTCCTAAGTGAGATGCTGTGCATCATAGTGCCATGCCATCAAATCAACAATATTTATGCAAGTAGATAAAAGGTGTTTACAAATTTCTAAGTTAAACACAGTGCATCACTATGCCACACCACTGAATTTGCAACATCCATGTAAGCAGACAGAAGGCGTCTATAAATATCTAAATGAGACCTAGTGCATTAGGACATCACACCACCGAATTTGCAACATCTATGCAAGTAGGAAAAAAGCGTATATGAGCTACTACGCTATGCCACCAGATTTGTAACACTAAAATAATCAGATAGATGGCATTTATAAACTTTAAAATGTAGTGCCGCACATATTCAAATGACAGTTTCCTCCACCACTGATCTACACTAAACATTCTAAAATGCCCCCACACATGCACTATGACACACACACACACACACACACACACACACACACACACACACACACACACATTAAAACATAAAAGTGCACATGCAAGAACATTAACATGTATACACATAAGAGTATATACCCGCATAGGACCCGATGAGCCTATTACAGATACATACGTGACATTTAAAGATGCTACGTGGGTCAAATAATAAATTTAAGTTTGAGCCAGATCCTTTTATATTAATAGGTAGAAGTTGACACAGCTAAAGCTATCAAATAAATATACGGTCGTGATGTAAACTGAGGCATTTGTTTTGTATATTCATACTAGGCCTTCAAAGCCTATAACCATAAAAATTTACTAACAAAGGAATAAATCCAGTAAAGAATCCAATTCCTTGTTAGCGATTAAACATATTCGATAAGGTTCAACAGATAATTATAAAATATGCCCCAAATACACGCATAGGCTCCGATGAGCATGTTTTAGGTACATACATGACGTCTGAGGATGATACATGGGTCAAATGATAAGTTTAAGGTCAAGCTTGATCCTTCTATGTGAGTAGATAGGAGTCGACATGCCTCGAATCATTAAAAATATATATACAGTTGTGACACCGACCAAGATATTTTATTTTATGGTTTATATTAGGCCTTTAAAGTTTACAACCAAGAAAATTTATTAATAAAAGTATACAATTGATGATGAACCTGATCCTCTATTGACAAGATGATAGAGTCGATAAGGTTCAACCAATAGAATGAAAACTACCCATAACTACCCGAATAATTGTCATGTTGAACATGGATTTCAACTAGAGGGTTTAATTTCAAATATTATCAAATGTCACTAAAATATCAATTAGATTTAAAATTTAAAATACCAAGAACCCACAAAATCCAAATTCTAAAATCCAAATACTTAAAATCAAAATTTAACCATCAAACACATAAAGTAAAATTTATTCATCCTTCGCAACAGTTTATCAAGGTATATAAATTTAAACATCACTTCAGCTTAAAAAGAGCTAATGTATGATGGAGAATATTACTAGGATTCATTTTCAAATAGTCGCCCGCCAGTAGGGACGTGGCACATATCATCTAATCAATGGTTTTGCTAGCAATGACACCGTAGGTAAACAATTATGACTTGAGCCCTATAGACCGGGTGGTTTGCTACCAAACGATATTACTAAATTATGGTCATAACCAAAGCCCATAAGCAGCCCAATGGTATTAAATCCTTGAGATATGATCAATAGGATATAATATATAGGGCTAAAACTCCTCTGTTAGCTAAGGTGGATTCAAATTTGTCCCCTTTGATAAATACTCATGACCATGCAAACCATGGCTGCCAACAAGGATCTTTCTATTAGGTTGGGTCGACTACATCCTCTGAATAAGTTGAACAGCGACCATGATGGCTAGGGATGATGGAACCATGGTATCTTAATTAGGTCCATCATCCATTCCCCCACCATCTTCTTTAACTGCAAGTTGACAAAACTTCTAGTTTTAATTATCAAATTTTCATATACCCAAGCCCATGCTGCTACTATATGCAGGATATCACGTATTTACGAGTACGATGTATTCATTTGATGACTAGCCTTAATCGAAAGTTCTCTGTCATTACCTAGAGGGGTAATTAACTATAGAGGCTTGCGCCTATAGAAGACTAGAACTAATATTATAAAGTCCTCGCAAAATGAGGGTGAAATCGCTAGGTAGTGTCTTATTTCAAGCCCAGTATGCCCTCTAAAAATTTAGCTCGAATGTTAATATGTTAAAAACTCCCCTAAAAGTGGGGAGGTCGGGGGGCGAATTTTCGGAGCCCACAGTTAGGCATTCCTAGAAAGCTAAACAAATTCACTGGTCTTGTCTAGGCTAAAGTTTGTTATTCTACCAAACCATCTAAAATATATAAAGTCTTCCCTATAGCACTATGCCTTGGCCCCAATTAACCTTTAAATGTGAGTCAAATGGTGACCCAATGCAACGCCAATCAATTTTCACCTTCCTGAATTTTTTTTGCAATAAAATGAAGTCCCATAACCTCTCTTTCTAGATTCTCTCTTCTTTTCTCATGTCTCTTAGGCTTCATTTGGGATAGCTTTTTTGCTACATCTTAAAGTAGTTTTCTAGTAAAAAATAAAATAAAATTGTACTAAAAAGCTACTTTGGGAAGCAATAAAAAAATTGTCCCAAACGAAACCTTAATCATTCATATTAACAAGATTCTGAAATTACCTATAGACATTTTTATTCATTACAACTCATATAAAATAAAAATTTTAATCATTTCACCAATTAATAACCCAAAAAATTTTCTTAGTTTTTGTAATAAGACGCATTCTCTCTATATATTGTCTCTTCACCCCTCGATAATTGGTCTGATTTTACATCTGTATGCATTGGAGACTTCACAAAAAGAAATATTTCTTTGGCGATCAGTCTGTCCCTATCAAGAAAAAGTCTCTTTGGAGAAATTTTCGAAAGAAATATTGCATTGCCATCCAACGCATTCTTTCGAATCCTTTCAAAACATCTTAATAAAAATATATAATATTTTAATTTTTCGAGAAAATATCAACTTTGACCTTTCCATATTGGCAAACTTGTATTGAAGATAAATTTATTTTTCTTGAATGTAATATCCTTACAAACAAAAAAGGAAAATACATAAATTTAGCTAAAATTTTGTGGTAATTTAAAAAAAAAAAAAGAAAGCCAATTTATCTCAAAATTCTTGAGATATGCAGCCATTGAATATATATTTAAATTACATATATTGACTTGGCTTTTTGCCTTCCATAGTACCTTACAAGATTTTTTTTTATTTTTTTGAAATTTCCAATGAAAAATGTAGAAAATGGTTGAATGTAAATATGTTTTTTAATTACTTGCAATTGTAAAATAAAACAGCTCTCTTTAATTTATAAATTTGTAAAAATATGTAACTTGAAAGCCTCAAGCATTTGGAACTCCGCATTTTGCTCTTATTTTAGCTTTTTTTTTAGGTGTCTTTTATTTGCTTTTTTGTGTTTGACAACGAAATTTATATGGAGAAGTTTAAAACTGGCATCTCCAACCCAATTGTTATTTGTTCTTATTATTGTACGGTTGTACCTACAATAATAAAGATATTTTCTTGGCAAAATTTTTAAAAGAAGCAAAGTTAATAATTGTATTAGGTTTAGGAGCATGAAATTAATTTAATTTAAAAAGGAGCAGAAACGCAATCCTACTTTGCATTTTCTGAAGAAAACGCAAAGCAGGATCGCATTTAATTGTATTAGGTTTAGGAGCATGAAATTAAGTTCAAATAATGTTAAAATGCCCCTAGATTTGATTTGGATGAAGAAAACGCCACCTACTATCGCATTTTCAAAGAAAATGCAAAGTAGCTTTGCGTTTTCTTCAGAAAACGCAGTCCTGCTTTGCGTTTTCTTCAGAAAACGCAAAACGCAAAGGATGAGTGCGTTTCTGCTCCTTTTCAAATTAACTTAATATCATGCTCCTATTCCTAATACAATTTTAAACTATGCTCCTTCTCAAAATTTGCCCTATTTTCTTCTATGTATAGGCTTCATATGGGATAGCTTACTTACTGTTTTGTTAAAGTAGTTTTTCAGTACAAAAATTTTTTGTTCAAAAAATTTTGTACTTAAGATAACAGTAAGAAAGCTGCCCCAAACGAAACCATAATTTTCTACTTTTCTTATCGGCTTCCCTTTGCTAAATTTCCCATCTCTTATTTTTCATGGGATCAAATTCAAACTCAGGCAAATCAGCTTATCAATGGAGCTCAAACAAAAATTTGAGCTTAGATTTGGAGAGGATTTGAACCCAACTATCAGCCTATTATTGGCTCCAATTGAAGAGGAAGATGCCATGTTCACTCAAAAAAATATTCATCTTGAAAGCAATTAAATAAATAAATATGTTAATGTCAAAATCAAACCGGCTTCACATTTTGAAATTTGACAAAACTCCACATCAGCTTTCTTCTCTGGCCTGCTTCAATTAGCCTTCAACTCCATCTTTCTTATTCGACATTATGCACTATAAGTTGAGCATTATGAAGTATGAACTATAGTGAGTGAGAGAGAGAGAGAGAGAGAGAGAGAGAGAGAGAGAGAGAGAGATGAAGAGAGAGAGAAATGAGAGGTCCAAAAAACATGAGGTGAGAGACAACCTTCAAGACTCTATGAATAGTGGGTTGGCTTTCTTCTCAAAAGATTATGAGCTTCAAAATGGAAGCAACACTGAAACACTTGAAGTGATAAATAAAAGATGCGGGATAGTTATTATCCATCCCAATGATAGGTAATTAAATTCCTCGTCAGTTCCATCAAAAACATCTTAATCATTTTCCTTATCCCAACTACTTCTACTTAGTATTTATTACATGTCACCTCTGGTCTCACCATGTCATCAACACATCGACATGTAAAAATTGTTCATTATTTCCTTACAGATGGTATTGTATGTGGGTGAACTTTGTATTGGTGTGGCGTATATACTCGGCCTTTGTTACGCCATTGGAGTTCGGCTTCTTCAGAGAGCTGACGGATAAAATGACATTAATTGATGGGTTGAGCATAGTCATCTTCCTCGTGGATATGCTGCTTAACTTCTTCGTCGCATATAGAGATCCTCACAGCAATAAAATGGTGTACAATCAACACAGTATTGCCATACAGTGAGTATTATTAATCTATTTGAACTGAACAATTTTTTCTCCCTTCAAAGCATTATAAACTGACAGGAATGTTTATTGTTATCCTTTTTCTTTTTAATTAGGATTCTTCCAAAATGAATTTCTGCAAAATCATCATATGACCGGCGGGTTTTGGTTTTTATTTTTTTTTTTACTGGTTCCACTTGTCTTCGGCTACCATCTGTGAAGCAAAAAAGTTTCTAGAGAGTCTCTAGATCTCTCGATCTCTAGGCATAATATATAAGGATCTAGAGACTCCCAAGAAATATTTGTGTTTATATTTATAAACATTTTTGGATTAATTGGCTTGAATCTAATCAAACTGGTTCGGGAATAAATCAAAATACATATGCATGCATCAATGATTTCTGTATGCTTATCAAACTTGTTCAAGCATATATTTAACTACATATGAAAGTAATGGATGCACTTATCTATCTTCAATTAAGAATAATTTCAGAAGATTGAATATCTTCAGTTGAAAATTTTTTGGAATCTTTTTTACGCTCGGATCATCAAGGGCTAATTGCTAACATAGTAATCATTGTATAAAATGATTTTGAAAATAAGAATTGAACGTAGTAGACTAAGGCTTCGTTTTCACTACAGGAAAATCCTTTATTACCGAAGAATTTTTTTGGCGGAAATTGGCGAATTTCCGGCGGAAATTAAGATTTTCGGCGAATATTTTTCCTCCAGTAAAAGCCACGTATGAAACAACAACCGTCACCTAATTTCCTGCTGTAAATTTTCCCAGCGGCTTTCCGGCTGAATAATGCCGCTGGAAATAAAAAAGAATTAATTAAAAATCCAGGTTGAAACGCCGGAAATTGAAAAATGTTGGAAATGCCGCCGGAACCAAAGCCAATAGAAATCCGCCGGATAGCCGCTGGAAAATCTATAGAAAAATTAGTCGGATATATTCCGCCGGAAATATGTTGGAAAGTCATCGGAAAATAGTTCGCTGGAAAGCCGCAGAAAATCTGCTAGTAATGGAGGATTTTCTTGTAGTGTTGAGATAGGTTTTTTACTGGTTCTTACATTAGCTTTAATACAAAATTAACTTTTGTACTAAAAAACTGCTTTAAGAAGCAGAAAACCATCCTAAATTATGCCTAATACTCATTCTTACATCTGCTCAAGTCAATCTATAGCAAAAATCAATTAAATTAAACGCAATGATTGTATCTTACAGGTATGGATCGGGAGATTTCATTATAGACCTCCTTGGATGCATGCCATGGGATGCCATATACAAGGTAATTGAGGTGTTTGTGTAAATATAAATAAATCTTCATGTCCCTGTGGCTCATACTAACTTGTTAAGTACTCGTAAAAATAATCAGGGGACAGGAAGAAGAGAAATGGTTAGGTATCTTATGTGGACAAGACTGTATCGTGTGAGAAAAATTAACCATTTCTTCATAAAGATAGAGAACGACATCCGCATCAATTACTTATACGTTAGGATTGTGAAGCTTATTACTGTACAGTTATATAGTGTACATACAGCTGCATGCATCTTCTACTACCTTGCAACAACTATGCCGCCGGAGCAAGAAGATTACACATGGATTGGAAGTCTAAAGTTGGGAGATTACAGCTATATGAACTTCAGGGATATGAATTTTTCAAAGCTTTACATTACCTCTCTCTACTTCATTTCCATCACCATGGCTACCATAGGTGAGTTAATTATCTTTCCTTCAGGCGTCCTTTGGTTTGGCTTTTAAAATACTTTCTTACCTAGAAGTAGGGGTGTCAATATTTTACCCAACCCAAACCCAAACCAGGTTCGGGTTAGGAATTTCGACCCGTTTGTAAAACCGGGCTAGGTTCGGGTTGACCCTGAAACCCGAAATCAATCCGATTTGACCTGTTTTTAATTAGAAATAAGTAAATGATATATTAAAAAATAATTAACAATGTTGCCAAAATTAAATTAAGCTTGATTTTTTTAAAATTGATTGAAGTAAATCTTACCTTAATTTAGGTTTATATAAATCGAATTAAATAAAGAAATTTTAGTAAAAGATACCCGAAGCGGGTCGGGTTCGGGTTGACCCGATCCGAAGCGGTTCAGGTTTGGGTTCAGTTCGGAAAACTAACCCGTTTGCAAAAACGGGTTTGGTTCGGGTCTAGTCGAACAGTGTCAGGTCAGTTTTAGATTTGACCCCATCCTAACCTGTGACCCGATTTTGACAGCCCTACTAGAAGTATATATATTTGAATCTATTATATGAGCTGGTTTGATGAATATGAGAAGATATTCTAACCTGTTCAACACCGGTTTGCTGTTTTATGCAGGATATGGTGACATACATGCTGTGAATACTAGAGAGATGGTTTTTCTCATCATATATGTATCATTTAACATGATTCTTGGGGCTTATTTAATTGGTAACATGACAGCTTTGATAGTCAAGGGTTCAAAGACTGAAAGATTTAGGGATGAGATGACCAATATAACACGGTACATGGATAGAACTAATCTAAGTAATGAGATCAGAAACCAGATTAAAAGCCACTTGAGATTGCAATATGAATGCAGTAGAACTAAAAGTGGCTTTATTGACGGCATTCCAGAGGCTGTAAAAGCCAAGGTATTATATTTATTTGATCATCTAGATCAGACAGAAAAGTTTGAGAAGTAGATTATGTAGTGAACTGTGTAGTTCCTCTTCCAATTTACAAGCTTTTCAAATATTTTTGCAGTTATCGCAGTCCTTGTATTTTGAGATAGTTCAGAAAGTTCCACTCTTCAAAGGATGTTCAGATAATTTCTTGAATCAGATTGTATGTCACAAAAATGATTATTTTGACCATCCTTTTTTTGTTCTAAATTGAAAAAAAATTGAGTGAATTCATTGAAGTTTCATGAACAATTTTGGATTCAAATTTTTTGCAGGTAATGAAACTGACGGAAGAGTTCTTTCTACCAGGAGAAGTGATACTTGAACAAGGGACTGCTGTGGATCACATATACATTATATCTCATGGCTCTCTGGTAAATAACATTGGCTAATTTTTGGAAACCAAATATTTGAAGTGTTGCTTAAGCTAATTTATTAGTAATGTTCTTTTTTTTTTTTTCAACCCAATTTAAAATTATTCATACTGAAACAAAGATAATTCTTTGAATTTTATGAAGCAAAAGCGAAAGCTTGGTACTGTAGGATAGATTGAGTAGTACTTACCAATTATTTTGTTTCTTATCATGTATTTTCTATTTTAGGAGGAGGTGCTAATAGGAGAAAATAGATCAGTGGAATTGATATCAGAAATTTTGCCTTCTGATTTATTTGGTGAAGTTGCAGCACTGTGCAATATTCCACAGTCATACACTGTTCGCGTTATCAAACTATGCAGAATACTAAAAATTCAAAAAGAAAATCTGAGCAGTATTTTACAACTTTATGTCAAAGATAGCTATCAAATACTCAGAAACCTGCTTGAGGTCAGACACTTAAAGAAAATTTTAATCTTCGTTTAAACTCATGAGCAATGCTAAATATTTATATTCAAAATTTCATTTTTTGATATGGTAAAAGGGAAACGAGATTGATCTAGACAAAAAGCCGTTGGTATCAGAGATATCCTTCCTAATCACAAAAAGAGAGGCAGAGCTTTCAATGGGAGTAAGAAGTGCGGCTTATAATGGAGATTTTTATCATCTCAAGGGTTTAACTGATGCAGGAGCAGATCCTAACATAAAGGATTATGATGGAAGAACTACAATTGTATGTCCTCCTATCTTTCACCAATTGAACATGATTTAGCAAGCCACGTGCATTTACTTTGAAATTACTTGAAGGTTGTTTAGTAATTAGGACATGTAGAATTCATAGAAAGCATAGAATCAAAGGCAATTGATAGATAACACTGCTATCTTAGTGACTTGATTATTTACATAATACTGTTATCAGAAACTTTACTAAATCAACCTTTTGTTTCAGCACATCGCTGCATCAAGAGGACATGAAGATATTGTGAAGTTCCTTATTCAAAGAAAAGCAGAAGTCAATTTCCTTGGTGAGTTAGGCAATGGCATGGGAAGAAGCTTTCCTTTCATTTAAAGTTTTGTGCTTAACCATTGAGTAAAATTTGCTGACTCTTAAATGCAGATAAATTTGGGAATTCGCCATTATTAGAGGCTGTGAAGGCAGGTCATGAGGAAATTGCTAAGCTGCTTTTGGAGAACGGAGCAGTTCTGAACCTGGAAGATTCTGGCACATATCTTTGCAAATTAGCAGCAGATAACAAAGTTGACATATTGCAAAGGTTGTTGAAGTATGGAGTTGATCCAAATTGTCAGAATTATGACCAGAGGACTCCACTTCATGTTGCAGCAGCAGCAGGCTTACATTTAGTTGCCGGAGTTTTGATTGAATTCGGAGCTAATGTTCTTGCCAAAGATAGGTACTATATGGTGATTTCTTTTCATAATAGCTGCATATGCATGTTCTTCTAAAACCTATTCAAATTAATTATTAAATGAAACTCTTTAGAAAAAAATTAGAAGAGACTGATAAATAAAACCACGAATTTAAGCTTAGTATGACCCAACATGCAAAGATAAGTTCGTTTGAAAAAGTATTAAGGTAAATTTTTACATTAATATGAGATGCCTGTTGAGATTTGGAGTTCTAAACAATTGAATACATTACTTCACTAAATTAGTTAAGGAAATATTTAGATGATTGGGCAAGAAGCACTAGCTACTAGCATTTATGTAAAAAAAAAAAGGAAATCAAAGATTTAGTGATCATAGTTGATCAAAGAAAAAAAAATCAAAATGGTCCCTCAACTCTTTTTGATGGACCAAAATGATCACCAACTCTTTTGAGAGATCATTTTGGTCCCTCAACTCTTCAAAACAAAATTTTTTTGTCTTAACATTCAATGTTAGAGTTAATGATGTTAAATATAAAGGTATATTAGTTATATTCTAATTAAAAAAATTTTAATATAATTTTCAAGTAATTATAATTTTCTAAAAAAATATATTAGACATTTCTTTAATTAAAAAAATAATCATAATTTAAGTTTTAATTTCACACATTTAATAAATTCAATAAGAAAAATTATAACGGCTTAAAATGTACATTTAATAAATTTTTAATTAAAAATCACCAAAATACCCTTAAACCTTACATTTATTATATATACAAAATAATATGAATGTTGATAAGGGCGTGTTAAAGTTCCTTGGGAGTGTTAAGTGTGGTGAAAATAAGATAATATAGATGAATGTATCATAAAGATTAAGAAATATAAAGTAAGAAAAAAAAATAAAAAAAAAGAAAGATAAAGTAAGAAATAGTTATATAAAAAGTAATAGGAGTAACATTTATTAAATATAATATAATTGAATATAAATTTGGGTACTTTGGAATAATGTATCATAGAGGGCAGAAAATGAGCCTTAACATGACAAAAAAAAAAAGTAATCAAAACTAATATGATTGGAAATTATCAGAAATTTTTTTACAAAATAGTTTTAACACCTCCAATAGAACACAATAAGAATAAATGGAGGACGATTCATAATGTTGATCACACATATCAATGATAGGACCACTGTGTAATTAATCCTTCTTGACTTTTATTTTTCACTGTACTAATATTTATATACCATCCATTCTAGGTGGGGAAATACTCCTCTTGATGAAGGCCAAAGAAGTGGAAATAAACCAGTTGTTGAGATTCTGGAATATGCCAGAGAAAATGCGCAAATGCATTTTTAGTTGATGAACAGAAGTCAAAATCTTCATCATAAGCGAAGCAACCTTTATGCCACCATCAATGTTGCTGAAAAATTGCTTGGCTATTAGTTGTAATTGCCATTTCCCGAAGATGGAAGTTTCTTTCTGTTGTGTTGAGCTCAGCTGCAGCTTAAACAGTGATAGATGACAGAGATGGTATTTTATCGCTGCTGTAGCAAGCCATAGAAGGATGGATATATTAAAACAGATTTCATCAGAGAAGTTTCTTTTTTCTGCAGTTATAATAATAATGTAAATCCAATTCTTTCCTTAAAAATCCTTTTGATGCAGCAAAGTATATGAAATTAATCAATCCATTTGACTTATGTCATTTTGTTTTTAATATGAAATGTGTTTATTTTGTGACAGCTTTATGTAGCTGCCAAGTAGATAAAGCCCAACCAAATGAGCCATTATCATAATCCAATCAATCTGATTTGACTAAATCCATCATTTATTGACTACTCATTTTTGGGACAAATGGCAGATGGGTTAATTATTCAAGTAGAAAACTTTCTTTTAAGGAGAGTCTCTCATCATAGCACAGGTTTTTAGATTCTCAGATATTAACATATATAGATGTTATGGAATCTCACACAGCTGCACAGTTTATTTTATTCGTCCAATTTCAAGGGATCATTTGGGATTGCTTTTATTTTTATTATTTTATTTTATTTATTTATATTTTAATTTAAATAAAATATATTTTATATGTTAAAAATCTGTTTCTATTATATTCAATATTGAAAAAATTGATCTATGTGATCATGGAGACGATCACAATTGGAGAAGCGGCAGTCAGGGGTAGTTGCTGGCAATAATGGTTGAATGTGGCAAAGATGGTCACAACAAAGATGGTGGCCAGAGTTGGCCTGAGATGGCATTTGGCAGTGTCTAGAATTGGGTGATAGCAGTGTTGAGGGTTGTGGCACTACAGGAAATTCAGCTATTACCGGCGGTTCTTACCGGCGGTTTACTTGGTTTTACCGGTGGTTTTAAAAAAACCGGCGGCTTTTCGGTGGTTTATAAGCCGCCGGAAAAAATGGCGTCGGAAACCTTTGCCGGCGGTTTTTTTCCGGCAGTTTATTTCTCCGACGGCTTTCCGGTGGCGCTTGGCGCCGGTTATCACCGGAGTTATTACCGATGGCTTTCCGGCCGTCCAACCGCCTGCAACCATACCAATGGCTACCCGGCGGTCCGTGCTGACGGAATTGCCAGCGTGTCGCCGTCGGCGTGTCGCCTAACAACCGCTTGCATGTCGCCGAACAACCGCCGACAAGCGTCGGTAAACTGCGGTGTATGCCACCGGAAATATGTAAGTCCAAAGATTAATCCGGCGGTTTCATGACCGCCGCTAGTTCTAGCGGCATATTCTTAAATAACCGCCGGTTAAACCGCCGTTATTACCGGCGGCTAGACCACCGCCGGTAACAGCTGAATTTCCTGTAGTGTGGTTAGCAGTGGTTCGAAGAATAAGTGGTTAGCAGAGACCAAATGTGGTGGTCAGAGTGATGGCCAATGGTGGCTGATGGTGATTTCCAATGATAGTCACTAGTGGTTGATGGTCTGAAAGTGGCTAGCTGTGATTAGAGATTATGACTGGCATTAACCAGCAATTGATGATGATAATAGTTATTTTTAAAAATACTCAAAACAAAGTTTAGATATTTTTAAAAATAGAAAAAGAAAATTGCATATAAATTGCATTAAACAAATATGTTTTAAGTTTTAACATACAAACAAAAATAAAAACAATATATATATCAGCACTTAAGAATCTCAGAAAGGAGTACTGTCGTTTCCTTCATTTAGTTGAGGCATATTAGCAATTCATTAAAAGAATAAAAAATAATTTTGACTCTCTCAAATTTGAATCATTACTTATTCTCGTAGCTGCTGTATTTCTATGGCAAATGGCAGTCATATTTATTAAGCCATTTAAGAAAAGAATCTCTCATTGACCTTAAAATATTCATTTTATTTTAATATATTTATACTTCTTCAAAGAAATTATAATTTAGTTTCACCCACCGATCTTTTTTTAATCTTAAAATATTGGAAGGAGCTTCGATCACCTATAACATCTATGAGTTCAACACAATCATTAGATAGTTAAACACGATGAGTACTGAGTTCAATGAGCTGATCTAGGCCTTGAGCTTGATCTTATAACTCATAATAACCCAATGGCATTATTATAGCTGTCCGTAATTTTTATGGATTATCTATAGTAAAGCTAAGTGATATGAAAGATATTGTATTTACTAGTTCACTAGTCAGAACTTCAAGAAATATTAAGGATTTCAAACTCTTGCATGCCTGTTTAAACAAGTTGGTATAGACAAGCTTCTAACTTTAAGCTTGTATCTTTCTAAATAGGTAGTTAGTTTTGGTGAAAATATAAATTCACAAAATTATTGATGCTTAGTAGTAGTTATTGATCTATTCAAAAAAGGCTTATAATAGATGAAACAGATTTAAACTTTGTATGTGGGCTCTGAAAATTTGCACCTTGGCATCCCCTTTGCTTTCGGGAGAGTTTTAATGGATTAGGTTTTAGGAAAAAATTCCAGAAGGTAGATTAGGTTTGTAGATAAGACACTACCTAGAGATTTCGCCCTAATTTTGCGAGGACATTATGATCTCTTCTAGTTTCCTATACGTGCAAGCCCCTATAGTTAATTACACCTCCCGATAGTGAGAGAGAACTTTTGATTAATTAAGGCTAGTCGTCAAACAAATACATTGTATCTATGGATACCTGATATTCGACATATAGTAGCAGAATTTGTTGGTATTTGAAAATTTAATATTTAGAATTAAAAATTTCACCATCTTATAGATAAATTGGAGGGTGGGGGGAGTGATGATGAGCTCAATCAAGATCCCATGGTTCCGTCATCCTGGGCCATCGTGGTCCCTGGTCTACTTAGCCAGAGAAGGTAGTTGACCCAACTTGATAGAAGAATCCTTATCGGCAGCCATAGGTTGCATCGTCCAAGGGTGCCTTTTAGACCTGGGGTGGGTGTTTGTCTGAGGGGACAAATTTGGATCCTCCTTAGTTGACATAGAGCTTTGTGCCCTATCGATTTATTTTTTGCTCTTTGTTTGCTTTGGAAAGGATGCAATCCAAGCGAAATTATAATTTCTTTGGAAAGATTTGAGATTGACTTTTAAATTTTAATTAAGAAATTGAATATACCATTAGAACTAACATACCGCCTTGAATAACGGATAAAAAATTTCTTATGGGTTCAGATTCATAATTAGAAATTTCATCCTAGATATAATAGTCAAATTCAAGAAAAAACTACACATTACCCCAAAGGTTTAAAATGATGTTCGATCAAATATTTAGCTATGATAATTTAGATGTATTATCATAAATTTCATATTCAAAGGCATGTTGATAAATGATATATCTTTTTCATAATGTACGATTTTAGCTTTGTGATGTACGACTTTGTTTCGTACTGTATGACTTTAATATGTACTATACAAAATAGTGTGCTATGTAAAAATTCTAGTAGCCAAAGTTTAATAAAGATTCTAATTATGTGCTGATAGTATAATACGATTTGGTTCGTACTGTACGCCCTAATTAAAATATTTCTTAATTAACCCCTCGATATTAGGAAATCAAATCATGAATAATTATTATCGTCGATTGTAATATACAATGTAGTTCATACAATATGATTGATAGCGTATGAAATTTATTATCCCAAAAATCATACCAAATGAAATCCAAGATTTTTGTACTGATTACACTATATGTTGTCCACAGTGCTAGGTGATGGACAGTGTACGAAGTTGGTCATCCTAAGAGTCTTCCCAAATGAACAGAAGGAATTTCTATAGTTCGTACCGGATGATCTTTTGATCGTACTGTGTGAAGTGTTATAAAGGTTGAACAGTTCGTCTGCACGAACTTGTTGAATGAGTCTAAATTATACTAATCGCACAGTAAGATACGTGTATCGTACTGTACGAACAGAAGACAACTTTTGAAAATTAGGGTTTCTTGAAGCCCACTACTTAAAGTTTTCTAATACTCTTACTAGAAAATATTTGGATGTTTAGACTTCAAGAGAGAGAACGTTAAGGGAGAGAAGAATGAGAGCTTTATGCGAGGAGAGGGAAATTTTGTAAGGGAGAAGTTGCGAGGGGATTCACAAGGTTGCTCCAAGCAAGAACCTTGCTTAGTATCTATAAGCATCAGTTGGATTCTCCATGGCTCTAGAGAAGTAGTTCTTCAGCAATGATCATGGTTCTCTGCCCATCACCTAAAGGGTGAAAATATATTTATTTTTCTATGACCATCACCTAGAGGGTAAAAATAGAGTTGTGGTCCTCTAACCATCACCTGGACAGTGAAAACAGAGTTGAGAATCTCTACCTAAAAAAGAGTCACGGTTCTCTACTACGCCGAGTTAGTGGAACAACGTCTGTACAGGCTTCTCCGCCTTGCTGTGAGAGCAAAAAGAGAGTCGCTACTATTTAGTGCAATACTTGGAGAGGGAGTCTCCAAGGAGTGAACATAGGTCAGGTTAACCGAACCATTATAAATTATGGTGTGTTCATCCTAATTATTTTTCACACTTTATTTTTCTGTAATTATATGTGTGGTTGAAAAATATGATTTATTTCGTTGATGTGAAATTTACTTATTTTCACATTGTCTATGTTGATTCTTGTGTGTGGGTGTGAAAAAAATTTTTAACGGGTTTCTTTTTTCCCTAAATAATTTTTTAAATATTAAATTTATTCTCCCTCTTAGTTAGCCTCGGGCTAGTTCTTAAAGGTTTAACAACATTCACGAAATCTTATGCTAATCCATCCTATTATTAATATTGAATATATTTTATCAAATGATAAAGTTAGCAAATCTCCACTTATGTAGTATCACTCTTTAGTAGGATAAATTCTTCACTTGCAAACACCCTTATTTTTGGAGATTGATTATATCATCCTCAAGAAAGCACCCACTGAG